GACGACGGAAAGCAGAGGGACGTGAAGTCCCACCACAGTATGTTTTGTCAATGCAGTGCAAAGAAGCATATTAAGGGAAGAAATCTCTGCCATCTGTATATGACATTACATTTTTTGCTGATCTATTAACGACACATTTTCATGGCCTTTGGCTGATACATTTATGTTTCAACCCAGTGCAGTACCAAAACATGAGTCTGGTTTTCCACCACTATTTATTAAAGTGTGACAATGACTTTTTTTTGTATAGATACATTTGTTCAAGAACCCTGCTCTACAGCAACACTGTACCTACCCCAAGAGAGAAACCGTGAACTCTTTGATGCTCAAAATTCTTCATGGAAATTTTCACAAAAATTAATCACAGATAAACCTCCATCTCACAGTCCTCATTAAAGTGTATTATCATCAAGTCATATTATGTGTGTGTCTTTTGACATGAACCTGATGCTGGAGATTGTGAGAATCAGTTGTGATGGCAAAACAAGAAGATGCTCATAGATGAGGGAGGAGACTAACGTGTATGTAAACTTCATCAGCCGCGTGACACAGATAAAGAAAATGAAGTTAATGAAATGAAACGCGTCAGGTTGAGAGAAGCCCCACACGGATGAGAAAGAGTGTGGTGTATAAAATAAAGCAACGCTGCCCCCTGCTGTGCAAGGCATGTACAACAGCATTAACATCATGTTGCTCTGAAATTTTGTTTCAAGTCGGTTGCCTCTCAATAAAATCAAAATTTACACAACATTAATATACACTAATGATGATAAAAAAAAAAATACAATAGATTGTAGATATAATTGCAATATTAAATATTTCTGTTGAATGCTCAGTCATCACCTCTGACCCTTCTGAGAGAGGCCTGACCAGAACCTGCAGTATCTCCTTCTAACCCAGCTTTGTATGATTGAGTCTTACACTGAGATCCCTGCAGTGAGTAACACAGTCATGAGAGTGCACCATATCGTCATAGCAACCCCAGAAACTGTGTTGAAGCCCATCACCGTGGTGACAGCAGCGTTAGGGAGGGTACCGTTGGTGAAAGTCTTGTCGTGAACATGAGCGATGATGGAGAGAGCTCCTGCGTACGCCTCTTCGCAGGCCGGCTGTATCTGCTCCTCTGGTAGCAAGTGGCTGAACTCACCTGGAGGATCGTTAAGTGACATCAAAGTATTTCTTAGTCAAAGTCAGTGCGTTATGTTTGGCGGATGACTATATTGAGTACATGTTACTGTAGTCCAACTCACCTTTGTCCCTCAGCTCAAAGGTGTACGAGAATGGGATACCAATGAGACGAGCCCAGTCACGACTCGAACCTGAGTTTGGATCTGATGGTGACAGAGGGAAAGAGAGAGATGACGAGGAAGAGGAAGAGGAAGAGGAAGAGGAAGGGTCAGAGGAGGAGGGATAGAAGCAAAAAGTGGAAGAGACATCAACAAATTTCCTTCTATAGAAAATGCACATAAGTATTTCACTTCCATTTGAACTGTGTGTTGTGTGAGAAGGGAAGACATGTAAAAAGCCAAAGACACAAATCCACAATATGTCAGGCAGATGATGCCATATCCCTCTCGCTAAGTGATACTAAAGACAATATGAATTTCAAATCGTGGCCTTAGTGTTCATTCTTTTTATTTAGGTTGCTCATTAGAGTGACTTCACACATGCAGAGCAGACTCTGTGCTAATAACAACTATTTAGGACAGGCAAGGCCATGGAGGAAGAGGTCAGGTCAGTGTGTGTGTGTGTGTGTGTATGTGTGCATGTGTAAGTGAGTCTTACAGAGGATTTGTGGAGACGTCCCTACAGTGTAGTTCATTCCATGCACCTTCTTCATCTCTGCTGCTGCTGCCTTGCCGACTGAAACCTGCACAGTTCACACATAATACGTTTATCTTTCACCTTAAGGTCCACTACTGTGCTTCATAAAAATTCACACGCACGCACGCACGCATGCACGCACGCACACACAAACACACACACACACACACACTCACCAGTTGATTGTAGTTGGGTGCAGAGATCTCAGGGTGGCCATATGGCAGGAGTATGAGTTGCCCAGCGGAGTGGATAGTGAGGAAACACAGAATCTGTTTAGCCATTCCACCTAGATACAGGCAGAACAAAAATGGTATTGGTATCTAGATGACAACAGGTACGACCCCTGAGTGAATGTAAACAAGAGCATAGCAGCACCTAAGTAATGAAGTCAGTCATGTTTTTAAACTGGGGCTTTTATATCTCATGATTTTATACATTTATGTTTTCATGATTTTCATTATGGACTTACTCTACATGTAATTTATGACATATATATATTAAAAAAAAAAACTACCATCTCATTTTTGATAATGCAATTGTTTTTAATGTAATTTCAGAGGTAGTTACCAACAAAGTCCATCACAGCTTTAGCCTCTGGCTCTGACCCTGGTGATTTCCCACAGTAGGTGTTGGCACAACTGTCAAATGACACACCTACGGCTGGGGAGAGGAACAACAAGGAAGGACATGTTTACAATATGTTTGTTTTTTTTATGTCAAAAGTAATTCTAAAATATGAATTCAGTAAAAAGGGCTACACACTGACACAATAATGTCTAATTACACTAAGTCAGTGGTTTTTGTGGTTTGTGTTATCAATCACACGTTACTTTGAGGACAGTATGTAACTCACTTCCCCAGTTGGCATTAAAGTTTCTGTTGAGGTCGACACCATAACAGTCACTTCCTTGGGGAGGGAGGGAACGGGACTTTCTCCACAGACGAGTCTACATGAAAACAACACACAGACGCAGGCACAGAGAGTGTGTGTGCAGTGTTAATGAAGTCACTCATTTACAGTCATATCTTTGACAGACTAAATGTGATGCTTTCACTGAGCAGACACAAGATGGAGACAAGTCACTCAGTCCTAAAACGGTAAGTCCATGTGTTCACAGTGGTGCTTGCTGAATTTAAGAAGGACTCACGCTGTCATTGGTCCAGGTGAATATATATCCATCCACATTAATTACAGGAGTAACATAGATGTCCAGGTTCTGCAGCATCTGTTCCAGCTTCTCGTTGGTTTTATACGAGTTCACGATCTGAACAGAGGAAGAATTTCAAACTAACATGTCAGAGCGCGCTTGTTTGCGTGCGTGTGTATGACTGAAATGATGTCTGAGCGCACACACCTCTTTAACGAACCACTGGCAGAAGGCGGGAGCGATCCACTCTCGAGCGTGGATACCGCAGTCCACCCAGATCACCTTCTTCTCTCTGCCCTCTGAGTTTTTCAGGCCCAGCTGGAGAGGACACACGACACGAGCCAGTGTGGGTGAATGAGGGTCATTTTAGGAAATGCTGAGAATAAATAATTGAGTAAGAAGGAAGTGACGCTGGTTGAGTGAAAGTAAACATAAAAACATGTTTTATATCCACCGGTCCTCTGCAGGGTCTCTGCAGTATTACTGACAACGCTGTTTAACAAGAAGGATTACGTCATGTTTCCATGTGTTCACTTGTGTATGTCATAGTGATTTTTTTATTTGTTTACCTTCAGCAGTGTGATATTTCGACCTTCATAGGTTTGTCCATACACAGCAGAGGAGACCAGCCCTGGGTTTCCTCGCTCCACATCTTCCATCCACTTATAGATCTGTGGTGCGATTTAATCAATGTGATAATTCATTTCGATACTGCTATTTATAGTTTTCTCTGGTCAAGGTCCATCTGTACTATACAAAGATTAAAGTGCAAATTTAAAAAGAAGAACAAGGGCTGTGACATAACATAGAAAATGTATTTCTAATAAAATATCCCCTGAGGAAAGCCCAACCTAGAAACATTTAAAGAGACCCTTACCTCATCCATGGGGTGATACTTGGTGTAATCATAGCTCCATGTTGATTGCAAACCCTCCTCTGAACTGTAAATGTAAAAATGAATGGAATTAATAAGTTTTTTTTAAAGGAACCTTACCTCCAGTATGTCAACGCTTAGTTTATTTGAACATGAATTAACAAAGGTTTCAGTTCGACTGTGAAACACCTGCACGAAACAACTGCAGTAACTGCTATACCTTAAAGTTAAGTATAGGGGAATTGTTAGTCTCGATTCGTGTGACTGGCAAACCATTGAAGACAAAACTGAATGAAAATTGCTTGGACACACTTGGTAAGGTTAAACACTGATGATACTATACCTAATAGATTAATAATAAATTCAACTCAACTCACCCGTGAGGAGTCTCTAAGCCACTGTTTATCAGCAGGAACGAACCCAGTATCCAACATTTAAATGTCATCCTCATTTGCTCTTTCTCACTTAGACCTTTCCTGTCACTTTCCTGTCTCCTCCTCAGACGAGCCACTGTTTCTTTACCTGTTGCACCTGCACCTGCAGCATTAACACTGTTGTCACTTCCAGCAGCAGCAACAGTACATTATGTTCAGATAGGTGACCTTGTTGCCATGTGGACAAAAAACAATTATTACCAGCTATCTTAACAATCTTATACTGAGGTAAATAAAATGTGAGCTATGTGGGATTGTAGGAACAATTATGAATCAGTTATATATTAACATTTATGAGATGTCAGTAAAATTATATAACAAGTGATATCCCAAGGTACAGTAGAAGGCCTTCTGCTTGTTTCTTTATGTGTCTATCTTACCCAAACACTCATAATGCTTCTCCTCCTGCGAGCATGAACACAGACGTTTCACAGAACTAATTACAGAGCAGGGAGTACATGATGGGACAAACCCCGATTTAAAGTGCAAACTGTGCAGTGAGCTTGTGTTTAGAAAGCTATGACTCTTCCACTGCATTCTGCACTATCAGGAGTTGCTGAACAAATGTGCCATTCATCCTCAACTGCCCTGTGTGTGTGTGTGTGTGTTGTTGTTGTTGTTGTCGTCCCTGTTTGGACTCACGCGGATAATGTAATTGACAGATGGCTCTCATTTAGGCCTTGGCAGGCATGGAGAAAGGAGGATGGACATAACAAGTTAGTACCTTTGCCTGGATTTCTACTCTTGGACGTTTGCAAATGAGGATTTGACAGCTTGGAAATATTCAGGTTTCCTGAGGAGACTGGATGAAACCTGTGGCAGGAGGTGTGACGGAAGTTGGATTAAATCAGGAAGGATAGGTATCCATTGTTGGAACCTTTGGACCAATGGGTGCTAAATTCACCATTTGCTGCTGTCACTACTATCTGAAACACAACAGAGAAGAGAAGAGCGCCATTTTGCGGTGAGATAAAAACACCTGACAAACATGGTGACAAACCTGAAGATCTGCCTTCAGTCTCCATTTATTATTAATGTACTAGAATCTAAAACATCTTAATGAGTTTCAAGACAATCATATCTGGATTTTGAAACAATTATCTCCTTTCACTCTTCTGTCTTCTTCTTTAGCATGCGCACCACCACAGCTCCCAGGCGACCAGAGCTGTTATCCAGTGAGTCCAGCGACAGTGACACAGAAGACGAGAGCCTCTTTGGCCCACAGCCTTCGAAAAGGAGCCCGCGGAGCAACAAGCAAGGCCAAAGGAGCACTGCTGAGCCCTGGGCCAGCACAAACACACCCCGTGATTCTCCCATCAGGCGAGGATCGGACAGAGAGCTACAGGCTTTTATCAGCATGAGAGACCAGGCTGACACGGCCACAGAGGTGAAATAAACGTGTATTGTTGCTGTGTATGATATGAAGAGCACAAAAGACAAAGTGCGAGGGAATACATACATTTCATAGAGAAGAAGTAACTGTTTGTATCTGTTCAAAATGACAAAAATTGGACACTGACAATTTTTTTTAACATTGAAAATCCCTGGAAATAAGACTTCCTGTCCTTAATATGTTACACAGACCAGAGGATAGTATTACATCTATGCAAGACACAGCGTACACTCTTTAAAAGTTTGCATTTTTATATCATAATTCACCACAGCTGAATGTGAGAATAAATGTGGCTTTATTGTGGATTTTCAGTCAAACTAAAATAAGGTATGATTTATTACTACTATTACTGACTGTTACTCATTATTACTGACTACTGCAGTCACCTTCCAAGGTCCCAGTTTCATCTGAAATGATCAGATTGCCTGATCCTTTTTAGGGTTACTTTAAATAATGATGGGATGATGAAAATGGAGCAAAAGTCACAATTTTACAGTTGAGAGCCATTTCATTTTTACATATTTTATTTTAACTTCAGCGTATAATGAAATATAATTCTACAGCTATTTCACATTTTAACATGTCAGTTTTTCTTTATCAATATTCCAGCTGATTTGATGTTTCTTAACAGAAATTTAAAAGAATTTGACAAAAGTCACTACACCATCTGACAGAGTTGTCTATTTACTGGGTTACACTGAATTTTGAATTATTTTTCTGTGTACCTGTAGTTCATAGATTTCCCACAGTTATCAGTAATCTGGAAAATTAACCAAGCAGAGACCCAACATTTAGATCTGGACAAAGATTGACTGTATTTCTAAATGCACACATGCTTTTAGAAAATCCACAGTTGTGCTAGTACAAAGCGATACTACTGTAATTCAGTAAAACAGTAATTCTCTTATCTGTTCCATCACAGATCTCTAACCTCTTTATCTAATAAGGGGAGAAGACATACTGTACACAGGTGGCTCTCAAAGAAGCTTTTGACTCACATCAGCAAATGAACTTGACCTAGATTCTAAAATAACTTAATATAACAGATATCATATTGGCAGAAATTAACTTGGTGTTTCCAGAGTAATGAAGGAAAGTGAGCCAGAAGTCAATTTGTCTGCTGATGTATAAAGAGTGCCACAGGCACGCAGCGCTGCTTGTGTTTATGTTTAATGCAACATTCAGAAGAACTCCAAGTAGGGCTGAACAGTTAATTGAAATATTATCGAGATCACAATATGCTCAAGTGCAATATCCAAATTGCAGGAGTGGCAATTTTTGTGTTGTGTTACAACATACCATAAATGAAGCATTGTGCTGCTACAGAGATGCCTCTGGCCTACAAATCATATTATCCACACGTAAGGGAACATGCTTGTTTGTCAAATTCTTATGTTTTTTTAAGTGAAAATGAAATGCAAAAATTACCAATCCAATTGACGTCAAGAATCATATCGTAATGACACACACACACACACACACACACACACACACACACATACACATTGACATTATTCATTCTCTAACCCCTTATCCTAACCTTACCCATCACAACTGAATGCCTAACCCAAACCTAATTCTAACTCTAACCTGTGGGTGACACTAGCTCCCATTGATTAGTGTGTACTCCACTCATTCTCTCTCTCACACACACACACACACACACACACACACACACACACACACACACACACACACACACACAGCACATAAAGAGGCGACATACTTTACTTACTTACTCAATCAGTGACCCTATACTTCACACACAGTATCACACAGTAACTTGCTGTAGGTTTCTTATTAGAGTGTTAGAATGAGTTAGACGCAGTGCAACTCAAGGATGATCCCTCTAGTTCATCCTTATTTGGGATTTTTTTCCAAAATGCCTCTTTGGTTGTCACTCAGTAATTTACATCTACAAAACTAACTTTTCTTGATTCATTTAGTGTAAATAATGTGATTAAAAACATTGTTGTGGCTATTTTAGTGACACATTCAAATATACAGATTGTATGAGTCCTATTGCATTGGGACCATCACTCAGAGACCGTTTCCTTCTATATGTCCAGATTCCATCTCAGTCAATCTCCATGTAGAAGATTTCAGTCTCTGAGCAGACAGTCTGAACTGTCTGAATAGTCTTAACGTTGATAATAGCTGGCTGCAGGACACAGTGGGCACATTGTGTTAATAAATGGATTCCTTAATAGAGATGTGGGCCAACAGCCTGGCTGAACATTCAAACAGAACATTCACTGAACCATTCCTGTTATGGTGTGGGACTCTTTTTAATATTGGCCAAGCAGACTCAGAATGCATCAAAAGGTAATTAAGCAGTGGGGGAAAAAGCCCATTCAGTAAAGTAGGACATGGCAGTGTGTAAAACAGTTCACAGTATCTTTCGGTAAGGAAATCTGTTTCAAACACTACCAGTTAGGCTACCTGGCATTAGTGTGACATTCTGAATGACACAGACATTTTTAATACCAAATATTTTGACGTGTCAAAGCAGTAAAAGCCCAGGTTACAGTGTGACAGTGAGCCAGCATGCACATTACCAGGACCTTAAAAGTGGAGCAGCCAAATGAAATTCAACTATCATTTATTTAATTTTTTCCTACTATGACATGTCTAAAAATCTGCAGTGAAAAGGCACAAAGCTTAAGATAATTTTAACCACCTCTGCAGGTGGTTTCACTTATTCTAGCTGATTGTTGCTAAGGTTGAAGACGGGCAACAAAACTAATTTAATGAAGCAGTACATGTCCACACAGAAGGGGCCTAATTAGGCATGATAAGTAAAAACACTTACTGTATGTGGGAGGACTGTGGACTTTGAAGGTCTTTGAGCATCAGATAAAATCTGGTTTATTTAATATTTTGTGTCACAACATCTGAAATTCACCAGTTAATTTCTGCTAAGTTTCTAGCCATGTTAGTGATGTGGCTCCAGGGATGGTGATGTCAGCCTGTCAGTACTTTGTTCCAGACTGAAATATCTCAATTATTGGATGGATTGACCTGAAATTCCTTTCAGGCATTCATGTTCCCCAGAGGATGACTTTAATGATCCTTGACTTCTTTAGAAGCACCATGGGTTAATGTCTGGTTTTTGGTGAAATCCCTATACAGCTACTGGATGAATTGTCATGACATTTGGGCCACATTCATATGGTCAGTGTGAAATGTAATGATTTTAATGAACCCACTAAATTTTCTAAAGCCATCATCAGTACAAACTTTTAATCATATCCAGATTGCCCAGTCCATTGATAACTGAAAAAATACCTGCAAAAATAATACTATCACAATTCAATCAGCATCAGCTGCTTGTGACCAACCATCCCACAAAATAAGGAGCAAAAAAACTGAGGACTAAGTCTCTTAAAAACCCACCTGTTTAAAGCTTGTGCAAAGCACGGTATGAACATGCGTAAAGATATAAATGTTTAAACATTTGTCAATATTGACAAGGTACACATTGTTAGCTCAGATAGATTCTCCACAATTCAACTGTTCAGTTCATTTTACGGAAACCAAACTATGATTACGGCATCGTAAACCAGCAGGACTGCACAATGTTGGTGACACCCTACCTTTGAAGCAGTCGTGATGTCTGATTGTTTGTCTATTCCTCAATTATTCATATTATTTTAGGTCATAAATGTCCAAAGATCAAAACAATCAAAAAGTTTTTCGTAAAAGTGTTCCAAGTTATGAAAATTGTAATGCAAAGTCCATTGCAGACTGTCGAGCCAGTGTTAAACAATAACAGTTTACCTTGTTTTCATTATGTTTGNAGTCTGATTGTTTGTCTATTCCTCAGTTATTCATATTATTAGGTCATAAATGTCCAAAGATCAAAACAATCAAAAGGTTTTTCGTAAAAGTGTTCCAAGTTATGAAAATTCTAATGCAAAGTCCATTGCAGACTGTCGAGCCAGTGTTAAACAATAACAGTTTACCTTGTTTTCATTATGTTTGCTGCCTACAAACTGGAAGTGTCCACACAGTTCTGTTGAGTTTTTACCCCAGGAGGACTAAGTAAAGACAGCAAATGCATAATTCAAAAGTGTGTGTGTGTGTGTATATATATATATATATATATATATATATATACATATAGTGAATATATGTATGTAGTTAGTTAAAGAACACTTTTTGTATATGATAAATTTATATTCATGTATTGTGTATTTGCCTATAGGAATGGGAGAAGCTGAATTATGACATACACACTTTGCGCTATGCAAGACGAGAAGTCAGATCTCGATGGAAGAAAATCTTGTTGCAGCTAGGTGAGATGCTTAGCTTCATCTCCGCTTCATCCAATTCACTGCACTCTGTTTGACTCTGTTGTCCTCCTGTCATTTAATTTTCCCCTGTACTTTTGACTTTCCATCTCTGTCTCTGCAGGTTATCAGCGTGAGGTGGATTCCTTGCTGTGTGTTAACAGACAGAGCCGGTTCAGTCAAGATCAGGAGCATAATAACAGATCTACTGAACTGTTGAAACAGCTGCTGGACCACACCTCTCTCTTCCCTCCTGGGACAGGACCCCAGACCAGATACCTCTATGTTATGGTACACATACACGCACACACACCCACACCCACACAGACATACACACACACAGTTATGTCTCTATTCCTCTATCTGCATCTGCCATTTCCAATGTCCCCTATTTCAGTTTTTTCATGTTCCTCATCTGCCTCCATCTTTCTCTCAGGACTGCCTGGTGTCACTGGACAGTGCTGAGGACTTTGTCAGACTGGCCAAAGAAAAATATCCCAAGAAATAACAGTGACAGAAAGAAAAAGATATAAAGGCTGACAGAGAGGGTAACAGAAAAATTTTGATAGACACTGCACAAGTAAACTTTGACACATACCAGCATACATTTAATGGTAAAGGCAAATTCAAATACCTGCTCTTTCACTGTTGATTGAGTCATTACACTGCATAATGGTAAGTTGCACTTTTTTGTTTAAACCGCACAGTTTGTAAGAGACAATATTACAGGTGGAGATGCTGGTTAAAATATGTTTTTTGTGCTTGTTTTAATTGGTTGTTTTGGTTATGTAATATAGGTACATACTGCAGACAGCCAATTCAAATAAAGTTAAGAAATCCTCTGCAGGTACATAGATGTATTTGGTGTCTATATTTAACATGAGACAATGCATTTAACACACGTTGTTAACTGATGACAGTGACGATAACAAACTGTATGTTTTTTGTGACTAATAAAACATATTTGCTCATTCCAGCAGCCGGATCGGCTCAGTCAGTTTCATTTGGCTCCGTTGGACATTGTGTTTGCACTTTTGTCCACATGGTGGAAGCATATCATCATGTTACAGTGGGTTAAACTGGAAGAAAAAAAAATACTGAAGCATCTGAATCACAGATGGGTGAAACTTTTTTCACTCTATTAGACTTATGAATTTGTCTCTTTCCAATACATTAAAGGAAAGCAAATATTCAGCATTTGCTCCTCAAACAACAATGTTAGAAGTTGACGAAAAAAGTTATTCAGTAACATTTAAGATAATTTTAAATGCAATTTTGTTTGTTTCAGTCTCAAAGCAGGAGTGCTTACAGTGTTAATCACAATAGCAATAATACCCAGCATAAGAATGAGGTGCACGGTGTAAGTAATGCAGTTTTTCAATGGGAAATTAAACTTCTATTTCTACATTTTCTGAGCAGAGATTCAGGATTTGTGCAGCATGCAGATGATAATGTCTCATCTTGGCTTTCACTCAAAACCATTTTTTGAATCATTTTAGGGCTGTACTGCACACACTGAATGGCATACACCCATTTGCACCACTGCACTTCTTGTGTCTTCAGAGTGTGAGACAGTTTTCATACAGTTGATGACTGCAGTATGTTGCACACACATTCATGCTCTCGCGCACACATGCACACAGAAAGAGAGAGTTTACTCTGACCCAGATATTGTTCTCTCCAAGGCCCCTTCCCAAGTTTGGGAAACAGATGTGGACCGAAAGAAGGGGAACGCTGGGGGAAGGGAGCAGCATGAGGAGCGAGCCAATAGTCTGGCAGCACTGAAAGGCATTGTGCTGCTTGCACCTTTTCCTCATTATACCTTTGTGTGTGTATGCATGTGCATTTTAGGTCGTGTAATGCTGACATCATTCTTCAGAATTTCACTGAAATATTATCCCAAAGAGAGAAAGTGAGTCAATGATCAGTATTCTTACATCGAATTGGACTGAAATGTGACAATGACGGAAGGAATTATTAAGAGGGTTAGAGAACAAAAATCTGAGACAACAGACTAGACTGTCACATTGAGGTTATTAACATGTCCACTCAAAGGGTCAAAATCTCACCATATACCTCTTAGGAAGCAGTGCTCACGTGTGTGTGTGTGTGTGTGTGTGTGTGTGTGTGTGTGTGTGTGTGTGTGTGTGTGTGTGTGTGGTGTGTAAGACAAAATCAGCCAAAGCCCAGTCAGTGGTCAAGGCGCACAGTATGGTCACACACACTCATGGTCATTCAGACTGTGACTACTGCTTATGGTCAAATATTTTCTGAGAGGCTTCAGTGGGGTGTTGTCCATACACACACACACACACACACACACACACACACACACACACACACACACACACACACACACACGCACACACACACACACACACACGCGCATGCGCACACATGCAGTGTCAGTGGTATGCGAGGGTTTTCCAGTCATAGCTTTGGGTATCAGAATCTATCCATCTTGTCCACCAAATACAAATCTTCAGCCAGGAAACAGTTAATGCAAAGACTGGAAACAGAGGGAAACAGCAAGCTTGGCTCTGTCCAACGGTAACAAAATCTGTCTACCAGCGTCTCCAAAGCTAATTAATTAACATGCTGTGTTTTGTTTGTTTATTTGTTTTAAAAAAGGCACAATATGCAAAACATGTAATATAGTAAGAATGTGATAAGAATCTGGCCTGAACATGTATGGGTTGAGGAATAATTTACGGCCCGATTGTTTCTTTATGTTAAGAGACTTTTTTCCTGTGGATTTCTTTCTCAGCCTTCTTTCATCACACCCTTTCCTCCACATCTCTTTGGTGTGTGTGTCTCTCTCTCTCCCTTGTGTGAAGACTAATAAAAACAGGTCCTATGCTGTGTTTCATTAAAATCTTGCATCTCAGGGAGTTTATAATGGGAACCCGTGACTCATGAGGTCAAGACCTCTATGTTTATGTCCAGGTACAAAACACTTTGTCACACTGACGAATGGTTTACTAACATTAGATAAATGTCAAAGTCTGTAATGACAGACTATAGAGTGCCATTTGGATTTCAAGGTTATACAGTGACTCAGGCAATCGAAAGCATGAATCCAATGGCTGGATTAAGAAACACCCAATAAACATGGGTAATAGTGACTTGATACTTATTTCTACTCATCCTTCTGGAGACTAAACATACTTATAATCAGCTGTCTTTAAGGCCGTGTATTCTATTGGCACTTAGTAAGATTGTACAAATAGAAACCTCTCATAATTCAACATTTGAGTATAACTCAGTTTCAGTTGGGCTATCACACTGAAAATTAACTTTATTGGATGAATTGCCATGAAGTCATATTTGTTTGCAACCTTTCCTCCAGCAACATCATCAGGTCAAAATTTTACTTTAATACTTTGGTTGCATGCTGACATTAGCATTTTGCTTAAAGCACTGCTGTGCCTAAATAAAGCCTCAAAGAGATGCAAGCATGGCTTGAGACTCTTATAGTGTGTTCAGAGAGAAGCTGTAAATTTTCAACAGTAAGAGGTTTTGGCTGGGGACATCGAAAAGATAATAGATTTTTGGTTTTATCAAAGACATGAGATGGTTTGTAACCTTTGGGCAGTTGAAAATGTATGCTTCAATACAACATTAGAATCACATTTGTCATCAAATAATGAAAATTTAGACATTTAAACAGACCTGGAAGAAGTCTAATGAAAAGATACTTTGATATAGGCTACCTCTATTGGTTTGTCCACTTGGTTGGTAAAGGGATACTTATAATGGCGGATTGAATGTAAATTCAGTCTAAAGATGCACCCTTTTTCATCCCATCTTAATCCCTTTCAAAACCTGCACTGTTTATCTCAGAGAGTCATTTATGATAAGATAGATTTGATAGCAGTGTTACACCCACACACACAAACTTAAGAGACATATACTTGCACACACACACACACTCAGTAATTTGCGACGGATGTTTATAGAACTGAACAAATAAACCAGCCAATAGTGTGCTGACCTCAGTGACTCCCAACAGAAGGTCAGAAGTCAAGAGTCTGCTCAAGAAAGGCAGCGTTACTGTGTTGCCTTCAAGTCAAACCACCAACTACAGTTTTGATATGTCTGTAAGAGAAAGGTTTAGGTTTTATGGTCTATGCCATCCAACACCAATTGTTATTTGACCAGCAGCCAAGATAAAGAGGCAAGAATGGGAGTGGAGTGATATGGTCTCCTCTATTGGGTGAATTACAATAATCTAGGTGAGAGAAAATGAGGGCAAACAAAGCTTGGAGTCAAAAATAAAAATATTAGAGTCTAATATTATTGTTTAAGCTCCTAAGATTCCCTTGAATGTGAATGGCCAGGTTTGGATGGGCGAATAAAATGACCTCTCATTTTGCATCATTAAGTCGCCTGAGATATCATCATTTTTAATTGGGTCATAGAGCAGATAATTGTCAGCATATTGGACATTAATACTGTCATTATATGTGAAATTACCTGAATGAGGAGCATGTAAATTGAAAACAGAAAAGTATCAAGGATTAACCCCTGCGGAACAACAAATGAGAGATTGCCTATAGACAAGGAGAATTCTCCCATGACAAAGAAAGACCTGTCACTAAGGTAAGAGCAGAACCAATTCACAGTAATTTCCCACCCAGTGGAAATATTAATTTCAGGTACATATCCTTAAATTATATGTAAACCTAATTTGAAACACATAAATTCTGTACTGCTTTTACCTTTTTAGATTTAAAATTCCAGAGAAAATTCTAAATTGTCTTTAATTGTAACCAGATTATCATTTTATTGTGTTATTGCATTTTAATGGCCAACAACACATGTAGCTGCACTCCCATTACTTCCCAATTCAAGATTATTGACTTGAAATTGATTTGAAAAATCAAAACATTGCACACAGATTTACAAATAAGGATTAAGTGCATCACTGACTGTCATTCTTTGTTTCTTAGTTCAGGCAGAAAATGCATATGCACGCACACTGTATACACACACACAGAACATATACACACACCACAGAAGGCTGAAGCAAGCCTTTGGGCAGGGCAGGGTGTGTTCTACAGCATGTCTGTGGTCATCAGTGGTGGATCAGTAATTACACAATTCCACTGATGCTCTTAAAATATCCTGATTTATTTCCCTAAAATTGAACATGATGAAAGGAGATCAATGTGATTCCCCACAATTTAAGACTGTGTATTGTTCCTGTAATTGTTATTCCTGTAATTGTATTGATAAGCGGCCTCAGGACTCAGGAGGAAGATCACTGTTCAGTGGGTCAGCATCTGGCATTAGTGCTTTCTAGGTACAGCATGTTTTAATAAGCCAAGTAAGTTTGAACTAAGTTTTTGCATTAACGGGTTAAGGATATATCCAGATGCAGCTGTGTGTATATGCACAGTATACGTACAGTATGTGTGTATGTGGGTTACAGCATTCACTGATGTGGTTTTGGATGTTTGAGTTGTCTCACCCAGCTGTTGGGGCCATGCCCCACCCCCCAACTTGCCAAAAAATCCCCTCCACATGTGTGGATGTGTTCATCTTCTTGTGTGTATGTATTTTCTCTT